GAGGTTGGGGTCCTGGTTTGGCTCCTTCCCTGTCGGCCGGTCACGAGTGGTGTCCCCCAGGGCTCGGTACTGGGACCCATTCTCTTCAACCTCTTTATCAATGATCTGGAGAAGGGGATCAAATGCACCCTCAGCAGATTTGCAGATGACACCAAGTTGGGTGGGAGTGTTGACCTGCTGGAGGGTAGAGAGGTTTTGCAGAGGGATCTGGACAGGCTGGATGGATGGGCTGAGACCAACGGGATGAGGTTCAACAAGACCAAGTGCCAGGTCCTGCCCTTGGGTCACACCAACCCCCTGCAGCTCTACAGGCTGGGGGAGGAATGGCTGGAGCTGCCTGGCAGAAAAGGACCTGGGGGTGTTGGTTGACTGTCGGCTGAACATGAGCCAGCAGTGTGCCCAGGTGGCCAAGAAGGCCAATGATCTCACTGGAACAGGCTGCCCAGGGAGGGGGTTGAGTCCCCATCCCTGGCTGTGTTTAAGAACCATTTAGATGTGGTGTTGGGGGATATGGTGTAGGGGAGAACTTTAGAGTAGGGTAGATGGTTGGACTCGATGATCCCGAGGGTCTCTTCCAGCCTGGATGATTCTGTGATTCTGTGTTGAGATGGAAATCAGCACACACACACTTCACAACGATAGATCCATTCACTTGGAAAAGCCCCAACCCTCCATTTTTTAATTATTTTAATTATATATTTTTTTAGTGCAGCCCTGCCTCTTTTTTTTTTTTTTTTTAAAAAAAAAAGCTTTCCATTTCTTACTGCACGACTTCCCAAAGATTCTCTGCTGCGTAACGCAGTCTGGCGGCGGCGGTGCTCATGTCGGAGCGTTTTTGGGTTTCAGCCTTTTTCTGTCATAACATTGACTGGGAGAAGGGTTTCTGACAAGGGGGGGGGGAAAAACGTGCAGAGCATCTGTTGGGATGAAAACAGCCAGTTTAATTTCTGACGTGGTTTCTGCCGGAGATTGACAGCCCCATGGATATTTTTCTGAAGCTGCTCCGTCGGGGAACGTGACAAAAGTAGAGAGTAATGCTGTCAAATGGCTTTTTTTTTTTTTTTTTTAAAGCATAAATTAGTTGTCATGGGAAGCTTTTCCGCTCCACGTTTCCGCCGGCTGCTATTCCCATGGCTCTTGGGCTCGGTGTGTGCCAGGATGGGAAAACTCTGGGTTTAGCTGGGGGACACAGTAGAGTTTGCATCGCTGGAAGTTTTTAACAGCTTAGTTTATTCCTGATAGCCAGGTAACTTAAATTCCCTCTGCGTTACTGAGAGTTTGGTAAAAATAAAATACTCTTATTTTATGACCAAGGTGGTGCAAGGTATTTGTATTTCAGTATCTTGGGTAAAAAGCTGTGTCTGGTCTTCACTCTCAAGGAGCAGGTTTGCTCCTGGACTTGCTGCAGGTGGGATTTGTCCCACAGAATCTCGGGCACAGAATCTTGTAGGTTGGAAGGGACCTAAAAGATCATCTTGTCCAACCATCAACCTCACTGACAAAAATAGACACCCACACAACAAACAAGAACCATCACCATCACTAAACCCTATCTCCCAGCACTACATCAACCTGTCTCTTGAACACCTCCAGGGATGGGGCCTCAACCACCTCCCTGGGCAGCCCATTCCAATGGCTGATAATCATGGAATGTGCTGATCCGTGTCCCATCGTCCTTGTCCACTGGGGACTTGGGGGTGGCTGGGGAGCCTCTGCCTCGAGGTGTGGGGACAAACTCACCCTGAGTGACACAAGACAATCATAAAATGGTTTGGGTTGGAAGGGACCTTAAAGATCATTGAGTTCCAAACCCCCTGCCCTGGGCAGAGACACCTCCCACCAGACCTGGTTGCTCTAAGCCCTGTCCAACCTGGCTTTGGCCAGAGAGCTGAGAGCTTGCTCTGGTTTGGGTCCTTCGTTACAGAATCTTCTAGGTTGGAAGGGACCTTAAAGATCATCTTGTCCAACTGTCAAAAAAAACCTTACAACCTGCTGTGCAAGGAAAAAGCTAAAAAGGGATTTTGTGACTGCAATTTCTGGAAAAGAAAGTCCCTGTGTCATCCTCGTGGGTTATTTTGGTTGGAGCTATCGATGCAGGAGCGATCACAGAGCAGTTGTATCCCTTGGTCTTGGAAAACTCCCCTTGCTCTCCCCCACACGAGTCAGCTGCTGCCTAGGAAATAGGGTCCGGGGATTTGTTTTGCAGCAACGGGCATGGGTTTACCTGCAGACCCTGCCAACTGGCCAAACTGGAGGCAGAGAGTGGTTAAGATGGATTTATTTCATGATGTATTTCTGTCATCGGTGCGTTACCTTATACTTCAGATGTTCTGAATAGCTGGAGGTACAATATTTGATATTCCAGCCTTTCAGCAGCAGTAAATCCTGGGGGGGGGGGGGTTTCTTTCCTCACCTCCTGCCGGCAAGAGCTCTGTGCAAGAAAAAAAAAAGGAGGGTGTTAAGGGAGAATGGACAGGGATTATTTTTTTTTCCCCCTTGAGAAGTTGCTCAGGGTAAAGCAGCCTCACTGGGAAAACTGGTTTCACAGGGGAGGAGGGGCTGCAAGAGGTCCCATCCTGGGGTTGCTCTGGGTTTGGTGGCCCCATGGTTACAAACAAGCTGGGGCCACTGGTGCAGTGCCGTGATGCCTTCCTGCACCCAGCAAGGCAGCACGGGGTCGAGAGGCTGCAATTCCTCCAGCAGGTGTATTTTTTTCTCTCTCTGGTGCTGTCTTTAGGCTGAGATTGTGGCGCCCCTCCCTTTTTTTTTTTTTTTTTTAAAAAAAAAAAGCTTTCCATTTCTTACTGCACGACTTCCCAAAGATTCTCTGCTGCGTAACGCAGTCTGGCGGCGGCGGTGCTCATGTCGGAGCGTTTTTGGGTTTCAGCCTTTTTCTGTCATAACATTGACTGGGAGAAGGGGTTCTGACAAGGGGGGGGGGAAAAACGTGCAGAGCATCTGTTGGGATGAAAACAGCCAGTTTAATTTCTGACGTGGTTTCTGCCGGAGATTGACAGCCCCATGGATATTTTTCTGAAGCTGCTCCGTCGGGGAACGTGACAAAAGTAGAGAGTAATGCTGTCAAATGGCTTTTTTTTTTTTTTTTTTTAAAGCATAAATTAGTTGTCATGGGAAGCTTTTCCGCTCCACGTTTCCGCCGGCTGCTATTCCCATGGCTCTTGGGCTCGGTGTGTGCCAGGATGGGAAAACCCTGGGTTTAGCTGGGGGAGACAGTAGAGTTTGCATCGCTGGAAGTTTTTAACAGCTTAGTTTATTCCTGATAGCCAGGTAACTTAAATTCCCTCTGCGTTACTGAGAGTTTGGTAAAAATAAAATACTCTTATTTTATGACCAAGGTGGTGCAAGGTATTTGTATTTCAGTATCTTGGGTAAAAAGCTGTGTCTGGTCTTCACTCTCAAGGAGCAGGTTTGCTCCTGGACTTGCTGCAGGTGGGATTTGTCCCACAGAATCTCGGGCACAGAATCTTGTAGGTTGGAAGGGACCTAAAAGATCATCTTGTCCAACCATCAACCTCACTGACAAAAATAGACACCCACACAACAAACAAGAACCATCACCATCACTAAACCATACCTCCCAGCACTACATCAACCTGTCTCTTGAACACCTCCAGGGATGGGGCCTCAACCACCTCCCTGGGCAGCCCATTCCAATGGCTGATAATCATGGAATGTGCTGATCCGTGTCCCATCGTCCTTGTCCACTGGGGACTTGGGGGTGGCTGGGGAGCCTCTGCCTCGAGGTGTGGGGACAAACTCACCCTGAGTGACACAAGACAATCATAAAATGGTTTGGGTTGGAAGGGACATTAAAGATCATGGAGTTCCAAACCCCCCTGCCCTGGGCAGAGACACCTCCCACCAGACCTGGTTGCTCCAAGCCCCCTCCAACCTGGCCTTGGCCAGAGAGCTGAGAGCTTGCTCTGGTTTGGGTCCTTCGTTACAGAATCTTCTAGGTTGGAAGGGACCTTAAAGATCATCTTGTCCAACTGTCAAAAAAAACCTTACAACCTGCTGTGCAAGGAAAAAGCTAAAAAGGGATTTTGTGACTGCAATTTCTGGAAAAGAAAGTCCCTGTGTCATCCTCGTGGGTTATTTTGGTTGGAGCTATCGATGCAGGAGCGATCACGGAGCAGTTGTATCCCTTGGTCTTGGAAAACTCCCCTTGCTCTCCCCCAAACGAGTCAGCTGCTGCCTAGGAAATAGGGTCCGGGGATTTGTTTTGCAGCAACGGGCATGGGTTTACCTGCAGACCCTGCCAACTGGCCAAACTGGAGGCAGAGAGTGGTTAAGATGGATTTATTTCATGATGTATTTCTGTCATCGGTGCGTTACCTTATACTTCAGATGTTCTGAATAGCTGGAGGTACAATATTTGATATTCCAGCCTTTCAGCAGCAGTAAATCCTGGGGGGGGGGGCGTTTCTTTCCTCACCTCCTGCCGGCAAGAGCTCTGTGCAAGAAAAAAAAAAGGAGGGTGTTAAGGGAGAATGGACAGGGATTATTTTTTTTTCCCCCTTGAGAAGTTGCTCAGGGTAAAGCAGCCTCACTGGGAAAACTGGTTTCACAGGGGAGGAGGGGCTGCAAGAGGTCCCATCCTGGGGTTGCTCTGGGTTTGGTGGCCCCATGGTTACAAACAAGCTGGGGCCACTGGTGCAGTGCCGTGATGCCTTCCTGCACCCAGCAAGGCAGCACGGGGTCGAGAGGCTGCAATTCCTCCAGCAGGTGTATTTTTTTCTCTCTCTGGTGCTGTCTTTAGGCTGAGATTGATGAGGGACGAGGAGGTGGCCTGGGAAGATGCTGTGCCAATGGAGAACAGCTCCTTCCTCAACTGTGTGCAGCATCCTCCAAAGCTTTGTAAAATACACATCCTCTATTCAGTTTGCCGCGGTCGAGCTCAACGTGGAGGCATTTGTGATGCTCTTAATTTTCTTTAATGAAGACCTTACCCTTGTCTCTTTCTTTCCCTCCCCCCGGGAAGCTGTGAAGTGGAATGCCATGGCCAGCTCCTCGGACAGTGAAGATGACGGTTTCATGGCCGTGGATCCAGAAGACGCCGCGGTGGAAGGGACGATGGAGCAAGACGAGGAGCCGCACGCTGAGCTGGAGGTCGAGGAGACCAGGCACAACAGATCGATGTTGGAGCTCCCAGAAGAGGTTTTGGAATATATCCTCTCCTTCCTCTCGCCCTATCAGGAGCACAAAACGGCCGCCCTTGTCTGCAAACAGTGGTATCGACTAATCAAAGGTACAAACAGCTGCAGTGAGAGGGCGTTTTCTTTTAAATTGTGGGACCACAGATTTGTATCTCAGCTGCTCTTTGCTTTGCTTTAGCCTCGCCTGCTGTTTTCCCCCTTTCACTCAAAAATTGGGCTTCTGCAAAATGCTGGAGCCCCTCTGCTGGGAGGGGGGGCTGAGAGAGTTGGGGGGGTTCAGCCTGGAGAAGAGAAGGCTCCGGGGAGACCTTAGAGCCCCTTCCAGTCCCTCAAGGGGCTCCAGGAGAGATGGGGAGGGACTCTGGATCAGGGAGGGGAGCCCTAGGAGGAGGGGGAAGGGTTTGACCCTGAAAGAGGGGAGATGGAGCTGAGATGTGGGGAAGAACTTGTTTGGTGTGAGGGTGGTGAGAGCCTGGCCCAGGTTGCCCAGAGAAGCTGTGGCTGCCCCATCCCTGGAGGGGTTCAAGGGCAGGTTGGAGGGGGCTTGGAGGGACCTGGTGTGGTGGGAGGTGTCCCTGCCCAGGGCAGGGGGTGGATGATCTTTAAGGTCCCTTCCAACCCAAACCATTCTATGATTCTGTGAAAAATAGCTACAGATCAGTTGCTTTGCTGAAGATGTTCTAATAACGGTGCAAAATTGAGCCCCTTAGCATCTTGTCCTTTAAAAGAATGAAACCCCAAACCTCCACTTTTGCTTTTTGGAGTGCTCCTCGTGTGCTGCTGAGGTGCAGTGCTGTTGACCTCACGTTCAGGCTTCATTCCCTCCCCACAGCATTCCCCCGTTGCCAGCATCCCATATCTAACGCGGCTGTAATTGTGCTTCGTTTGCCTCTTGCTCAGTAATTAGCGTTCCCAAAGCTTATGCTTTGGGCTGGAAACAAACCTGTGAAGATAAGTGCTATAGAAAATCTACATTAACACAGATCTACATATTCAGACTTCCTGAAAGAGTAGCCCTGAGATACAGATACTCCACTCTGCCTGCGTGCGGCATTAATTCCCAAGCCTCATGGGGATATTTTAATGCTAGATATATATAATACAACAACGAGATAGGTACAATTTGGACAAGGATACAAGGAAAACTCTCCTCTCCAGTATTTTTTTTTAATCCATTGAATGATTTCTGTTGTATTTCTGTTGAGAGGACACATTTTGGTTGCAAGCTACATGAAAAAAATAGGCAGTTGAAGAGGAGACCACAGTGAAATCTGTAGGAAATGAAGCCCACATTTTGATTGCAAGCCTCATGAAAAAAATAGGCAGTTGAAGAGGAGACCACAGTGAAATCTGTAGGAAATGAAGCCTGGCTGCTGCAGGAGGGTAAATGTTTTTCTTCTGGAAAATGCAGAGGGGTGTCAGGAGAGGAAGAACACCTTGGGCAGACCCTTGGGGTGATGTCTGATTTGTCTTTGGACTCTTCCGTGCATGTGAAAGCATCGCTGGGATTCCAGACATTTTTTGCCTTGCCCAGAGTTTAACAGGCTGGAGGTTAAAAAAACCCCTCACAGATATTTCAGGAGCGAACATTGCCCAAAATCATTCTTTTGGCATAATTTTGGGTCAGCGGCAACACGCGCTGCTGCTGAAAGGTCTCCGTGGCCCTTGGGGTGCTCTTTCTCACGCGTGCTTGTTCCTGGAGCACCCTGAAGAGCTGCAGAGGATGCAGCTGGATTGACCAAGCACCTGGTGATTCACCCCAAAAAAGACTGTGGGAAACATCCCTGGACCATCCGAGACACAACGTGGCACCGGAGTGAGTTGTCCACGTCTCAGGGGATGAGCGGTGCGGGGGCAGCCGTGCCATTTTTGCAGCAATTATAGCCAAAAAAAAAAAGAAAAAGGGGGAGTGTAATCACTAACCTGCTTGCCATGAAGCAGAGGGGTCACTCGAGGTAAACACTGGGTTTGTTTTCTCCCGGTTAATTTTTCCTGTTTGTCAGGATACATCTGCCATGAAATCCTCTAGTTCCGATTACATTTCCCGCGTGACTCTTGGCAACCAGCTGCTTGAGGACCCCAGGCTTTTTTGTTTGTTTGTTTTTGGGTTTTTTGGGGGAAAAAAACCCCAAAGCTTCCTTCTTTATATCCCGGAGTGTGATTTCTTGCTGGAGGTGTTCCTGGCATGAGGCTTTCACGAAGCAAATCGTTGGGGAAAAAATCTTGGCAGGTTGTGGCACCCTCCCTGCGAGATGCCACCGAGTATCTGCTGAGCTGCTGTGGTCATAAATCTCTATATTTTTGGTTTTTTGCCACGGGGAGCAGTCTCTGGCCCCTCTCAGCACAAACACAGACACACATATACTCCATACACAGAATTAATTACAGATCTGGGGCCGTTGTCAGCTCCGGGGAGACCTTAGAGCCCCTTCCAGTCCCTCAAGGGGCTCCAGGAGAGATGGGGAGGGACTCTGGATCAGGGAGGGGAGCCCTAGGAGGAGGGGGAAGGGTTTGACCCTGAAAGAGGGGAGATGGAGCTGAGCTGTGGGGAAGAACTTGTTTGGTGTGAGGGTGGTGAGAGCCTGGCCCAGGTTGCCCAGAGAAGCTGTGGCTGCCCCATCCCTGGAGGGGTTCAAGGGCAGGTTGGAGGGGGCTTGGAGGGACCTGGTGTGGTGGGAGGTGTCCCTGCCCAGGGCAGGGGGTGGATGATCTTTAAGGTCCCTTCCAACCCAAACCATTCTATGATTCTGTGAAAAATAGCTACAGATCAGTTGCTTTGCTGAAGATGTTCTAATAACGGTGCAAAATTGAGCCCCTTAGCATCTTGTCCTTTAAAAGAATGAAACCCCAAACCTCCACTTTTGCTTTTTGGAGTGCTCCTCGTGTGCTGCTGAGGTGCAGTGCTGTTGACCTCACGTTCAGGCTTCATTCCCTCCCCACAGCATTCCCCCGTTGCCAGCATCCCATATCTAACGCGGCTGTAATTGTGCTTCGTTTGCCTCTTGCTCAGTAATTAGCGTTCCCAAAGCTTATGCTTTGGGCTGGAAACAAACCTGTGAAGATAAGTGCTATAGAAAATCTACATTAACACAGATCTACATATTCAGACTTCCTGAAAGAGTAGCCCTGAGATACAGATACTCCACTCTGCCTGCGTGCGGCATTAATTCCCAAGCCTCATGGGGATATTTTAATGCTAGATATATATAATACAACAACGAGATAGGTACAATTTGGACAAGGATACAAGGAAAACTCTCCTCTCCAGTATTTTTTTTTAATCCATTGAATGATTTCTGTTGTATTTCTGTTGAGAGGACACATTTTGGTTGCAAGCTACATGAAAAAAATAGGCAGTTGAAGAGGAGACCACAGTGAAATCTGTAGGAAATGAAGCCCACATTTTGATTGCAAGCCTCATGAAAAAAATAGGCAGTTGAAGAGGAGACCACAGTGAAATCTGTAGTAAATGAAGCCTGGCTGCTGCAGGAGGGTAAATGTTTTTCTTCTGGAAAATGCAGAGGGGTGTCAGGAGAGGAAGAACACCTTGGGCAGACCCTTGGGGTGATGTCTGATTTGTCTTTGGACTCTTCCGTGCATGTGAAAGCATCGCTGGGATTCCAGACATTTTTTGCCTTGCCCAGAGTTTAACGGGCTGGAGGTTAAAAAAAACCCCCACAGATATTTCAGGAGCGAACGTTGCCCAAAATCATTCTTTTGGCATAATTTTGGGTCAGCGGCAACACGCGCTGCTGCTGAAAGGTCTCCGTGGCCCTTGGGGTGCTCTTTCTCACGCGTGCTTGTTCCTGGAGCACCCTGAAGAGCTGCAGAGGATGCAGCTGGATTGACCAAGCACCTGGTGATTCACCCCAAAAAAGACTGTGGGAAACATCCCTGGACCATCCGAGACACAACGTGGCACCGGAGTGAGTTGTCCACGTCTCAGGGGATGAGCGGTGCGGGGGCAGCCGTGCCATTTTTGCAGCAATTATAGCCAAAAAAAAAAAGAAAAAGGGGGAGTGTAATCACTAACCTGCTTGCCATGAAGCAGAGGGGTCACTCGAGGTAAACACTGGGTTTGTTTTCTCCCGGTTAATTTTTCCTGTTTGTCAGGATACATCTGCCATGAAATCCTCTAGTTCCGATTACATTTCCCGCGTGACTCTTGGCAACCAGCTGCTTGAGGACCCCAGGCTTTTTTGTTTGTTTGTTTTTGGGGTTTTTTTTGGAAAAAAAACCCCAAAGCTTCCTTCTTTATATCCCGGAGTGTGATTTCTTGCTGGAGGTGTTCCTGGCATGAGGCTTTCACGAAGCAAATCGTTGGGGAAAAAATCTTGGCAGGTTGTGGCACCCTCCCTGCGAGATGCCACCGAGTATCTGCTGAGCTGCTGTGGTCATAAATCTCTATATTTTTGGTTTTTTGCCACGGGGAGCAGTCTCTGGCCCCTCTCAGCACAAACACAGACACACATATACTCCATACACAGAATTAATTACAGATCTGGGGCCGTTGTCAGCCAGATCCTCTCCCTCGCATGGCTAAGGAGGGATATTTTCACCTAAAGGACACTTAAGTTATATCACCGATGTCTCCTCTCATATTTAGTGTGGATTCCTGTGCAGTAGTTAAGTGCACGCTCTTAAAAATTCATTTTTGCACATTATTTATCCTCTAAGGTCCATTAAGTGAAGGGTGGCTGTGTGATTAGGAGACTGAAGGCTAAAAACCAGCTCCACAGAGGCATCACGTGTTTGCCTTTCCCAAAGGCTTTGCTTTACCCTCCTAGAGCTGATGTATCCATATATATATATATATGTAAAATCTGTTTGGAAATACAGTGAACCAGTTCAGCGAACGCTGCCGATTTCCACATTTTATTCTCTTTAATCCTTCCAACTTCCACCAGCGAGTTGATCATGTAAATCCAGGGGGTTCTTTCTAAATCGCTGTCACTTGTGCAACTGCTCGGGTACGGTTTGTTCCTAACGTGCCCCAAATTTTGCTGACGTCTTGTTTTTTTGGTTTTTTGTTTTTTTTCCCCCACCTAGGTGTGGCCCATCAGTGTTATCACGGCTTTATCAAAGCAGTGCAAGAAGGAAATATTCAGTGGGAGAGTCGCACTTACCCCTACCCCGGGACCCCCATCACCCAGCGCTTCTCGCACAGTAAGTACCCCCTGGAAAAAGTTCCACTCGCCCCTTTTTCTGCTCAGATTTACCCCAGGAAGCTGTAACGAGGGCACACGCGTCGGCGTCATCATGTGGCTGTCACCTGCTGGGTGTGACATCCAGCTCTGCCAACAACACAAGCACTTTGCCCCCCCCAAAAAATAGGGATTCAGCAGCTGCTCGCCGTGGTTGTTGGCTCCTTGCTCTCTGGAAAAGTTAAAAGTGGGATTTTTTGCTTTCTGGTTTTGGGTATTTTCACCCAGGTTCCTTCCGCAGCTGCCCTTAGAGTCTGGGCTTTGTGTCCCCATAGATAGAAACCTCACGGAGCCCCCAGCCTCAAGTCTTTACCATCAAAGGGTAAAGTCACGGTGACACCCCGGAGGGCTGTGCTGCTGGAGGGATGGGATAGGAAGAGGTTCAACAGGGAAAAGTGTAGGGTCCTGCACCTGGGAAGAAAAATGTCAGGCACCAGTACAGGTTAGGGGTGGACCTGCTGGAGACAACTTCTGAAGAGAAAGATCTAGGGGTCCTGGTGGACACCAAAATGACAATGAGCAAGCAGTGTGCTCTTGTGGCCAAGAGGCCAATGGAGTCCTGGGCTGTGTAGGGCAGAGTGTGGCCAGGAGGTCAAGGGAAGTCATTCTCCCCCTCTGCTCTGCACTGGGGAGGCCACAACTGGAGACCATGGGAAGTTCCACTGAAATCTGAGGAAGAACTTGTTTGGGGTGAGGGTGGCAGAGCCCTGGCAGAGGCTGCCCAGGGAGGGTGTGGAGTCCCCTTCTCTGGAGATCTTCAAGCCCCACCTGGATGCTCCTGAGTAACATGCTCTGACAAGCTCTGGGCAATCCTGCTTCAGCAGAGGGGTTGGACTGGATGATGTCTATGGTCCCTTCCAACTCTAAAAATTCCATGAAATTCCGTGAAAGCAATGAGTTTCCCCACCCGGAGGTGCTCAGGGGTCTTTGCTGGCTGCTTTTACAGCAGATCATCCTCCACGTCTGTGAGTAAGACAATTTAGAGGAGGCTGAGCGTGGTTGGCTTCAAAATAAAACAGACCTCCACGTGAGGAGCATCGAGGCAAATGTATTTGCTGATGGAATTAAGCGATTCGGTTGACAGCGCTGCTTAATGTAGGGGGGAATTTTCACCCTGCTTCCAAGTTTCTGGAAGAAAAAGCAGAGAAAGCATTACCCATTGAGGGGAAAACACTTAAATAAAGCTTGTTATTTGTACTGCAATAACATCCAGCTGCCTCAGCCTGCTCTGCTGGGCCACGTAGTCAAAAATATGACAAAAATTCAGTCCTTGTGGCTTCGTGGCTGGGTCTGAGCCCTCCGGGAGGCGCTTCTCCCAGGGAGCAAATTTCATTTTTTCTAAAGGTAAATAAACAGGGAGCGAGCAGGCAGCAAAACTTTCATATTCCCAAGTCATAATTTATGAAGCAACCCATGCGCAGCCTCCTGCCAGGACAAGTCCAGGAGACGCTGCAGGAAGTTCTGGTGAAGTCATCGCGCTCTTCAAAGATTTCCTCGTCCTCCTACGGGATGAATGGATAATAATAATGGATGGATGCATCCATACCCTACAGAAATACTGTGTCTTTGCCACCTGCAATGCCAAAGAGAGGGTTTTTTTGTCAAAAACCACTGGTTTCCCATGGGGTTTAAATGCTTTTGGAAAGTCCAAGCTCTGGTTTATTTATTGTCACGCTGGTGTGCCCAGTTCTCTTCCATGAAAACCTCATGGAAAATGATGGATCAGGTTGTCTTCTGCTGATGAAAATGGCGAGAGAAAACCACTGGTTTCCCATGGGGTTTAAATGTTTTTGGAAAGTCCCACCTCTGGTTTATTTATTGTCACGCTGCTGTGCCCAGTTCTCTTCCCTGAAAACCTTATGGAAAATGATGAATCAGGTTGTCTTCTGCTGATGAAAATGGCGAGAGCTTTGACCCACAGAAGCAGTAGCAAAGCTAACGATTGCTAAAATTTTAGATTTAAGTCCCTGGTTCAGCACTCAGGGCCCGTGAAATAAAACTCCGTATGCGCACCCCGGCAGCTCCCCACTTCCCAGTTTCCCATGGGGTTTAAATGCTTTTGGAAAGTCCAAGCTCTGGTTTATTTATTGTCACGCTGGTGTGCCCAGTTCTCTTCCATGAAAACCTCATGGAAAATGATGGATCAGGTTGTCTTCTGCTGATGAAAATGGCGAGAGCTTTGACCCACAGAAGCAGTAGCAAAGCTAATGATTGCTAAAATTTTAGATTTAAGTCCCTGGTTCAGCACTCAGGGCCCATGAAATAAAACTCCGTATGCGCACCCCAGCAGCTCCCCACTTCCCAGCTGCCCAAAAAGCATCCCTGCTTTGCCACCAGACCCATCACCCCAATGTCTGCATGAGGAGCAGGAGACAAAGGCCCACAACATGTCAGCAAGGGACTTCCTTGATTCATCAAAGCACTTAGAGGACAACGTGTCACATAGAGATCACGAGGATTTAAACACGTGCTGAGATATGGCCTCAAGTTGCCCCAGGGGAGGTTCAGGCTGGATATTAGGAAAAATTTTTTCACGGAAAGGGTTCTCAGCCATTGGAATGGGCTGCCCAGGGAGGGGGTTGAGGCCCCATCCCTGGAGGTGTTCAAGAGACAGGTTGATGTAGTGCTGGGAGGGATGGTTTAGTGATGGTGATGCTTCTTGTTTGTTGTGTGGGGGTCTATTTTTGTCAGTTAGGTTGATGGTTGGACAAGATGATCTTTAAGGTCCCTTCCAACCTAGAAGATTCTCTGATTCTTTGATATTTTGACTTAGCAGGGCATGGGGCCTTGTCTAGGCATGAAATTGTCTCAGATTAAAGGTTTACTTGAAGGGTGGGTGTCAAGAGGATGGGGCCGGCCTTTTTTCAGCAATGTCCAGGGATAGGACAAGAGGGAATGGGCACAAACTTGAATATAAGAAGTTCCACCTCAACATGAGGAGGAACTTGTTGACTTTGAGGGTGGCAGAGCCCTGGCAGAGGCTGCCCAGAGAGGTGGTGGAGTCTCCTTCTCTGGAGACATTCAAACCCACCTGGACACGTTCCTGTGGGACCTGCTCTGGGTGGACCTGCTCTGGCTGGGGGTTGGACTGGGTGATCTCCAGAGGTCCCTTCCAACCCCATGTCATTCTGTGATTCTGTGTGAAGAAGGCACCACCGTTTCAGAGCTCGTTTTCAGTAAAGCCCTTGTAGATTTGTGTGTATTTTCCCTTCAATTTTTGCAGCCTTTTTGCACCTTTAGTCTAGTGAGGAATTACCTGAAGAAGACCCAGATATTGCCCCACGGATCGCCGTGTGCTGTGTGATTTATTCTATTGCTCTCCGGGGGGGCTTCCTCTGAGCGTGCTGCTCTTCTGCTCCATCCAAAATGAGCTGTTTTCCTAAATCCACTGCCCTCGGAGCACGTAATCTGTATTAGCCTTGCTCTTTGACAGCCCCCTGGCTCTGCTCAGCCCTCGGCCGCTACAGAAGCGTTATTAATGCACTTTATGCGCAGAAAGCTAATCTGGATTAACTTGTTTGCTGACTTAAACTGATTTTTTTATTTTTTTTCAAGCTGTTCTCCAGCTGGGCGGGATCTGCTTTCCCTACAACAAAGCGTTGCGCGTTTGTGGGTGGATTCCAGGATTAAAACTGAAGCTACAAATCACTAAAAGCCCAAATTCCAACTGAATCTGGCAACCTGTGACCTAAAATACTAAGACGGGGCTGAGCCGAGGTGAAGGCAGAGTAGGAGGTTTGGGGAAGGGGGAGGGAGGGAGGATTCAATCCCTCCTTTTTGTTTTTTTTAAGGAGTGAGGGATTTGCCAGGTTTTGTGGGAAGACGTCATCGACCAGGCACGAGGTATTTGAAGTCAACAGGCAACAGCCACGGGCATCAAAGGAGTGGGATCTATAAATCTCTCCGCTGGGATTTATTACAAATATCCCAGAAATGCTCAAAAGGACAAGTGGGAGGGAATTTTAAATAGTTAGAGGTCACTGTGTCTTCTCTCAGTTCTGAAGGGAGTAATAGAAAACCTGTTTGATAAGGAATAATTAATGGAATTACTGTCATCTCGTGGGGAGGGAGCGTTTGGCGAAGCCTTTGATCATCCAGCCGATAATGAACTTTATGGATGAGCTGGAGGTTTTTGGAAGGATTTGATTGAAGCTGCAGAACATCATACAATATCAATAATGCTGGGCTTGAGATGGTAACGTAGGGGGTGACTGGAAGAAATCCTTCATGCACAGGCTTTTGAGCTGAACACCAGGTCTCTTTGTCAGAGATGTGGACAGTGGGATAGAGAGCAGCTTCACCAAGTTTGTTGACAACACCGAGCTGTGTGGGGCGGTCAACGTGCTGGAGGGAAGGGATGCCATCCAGAGGGACCTGGACAGGCTGGAGAGGTGGGGCCGTGCAAACCTCATGAAGTTCAACCAAGCCAAGTGGCAGGGTCCTGCACCTGAGTCACGGCGATCCCAGGCACAAATCCAGGTTGGGTGGAGAATGGCTGGAGAACAGCCCTGAGGAGGAGAACTTGGTGGTGTTGGTGGAGGAGAAGCTTGAGGTGAGCCAGCAATGTGCACTGGCAGCCCAGAAAGCCAACTGCATCCTGGGCTGCATCAAAAGAAGCGTAGCCAGCAGGTCAAGGGAGGTGATTCTGCCCCTCTGCTCCACTCTGGTGAGACCCCACCTGGAGCTCTGTGTCCAGCTCTGGAGTCCTCAGCACAGGAAGGACATGGAGCTGTTGGAACGGGGCCAGCGGAGGGCCAGGAAAATGATGAGAGGGCTGGAGCCCCTCTGCTGGGAGAGGGGGCTGAGAGAGTTGGGGGGGTTCAGCCTGGAGAAAAGAAGGCTCCAGGGAGACCTTAGAGCCCCTTCCAGTCCCTCAAGGGGCTCCAGGAATAGAATCATAGAATTGCCCAGGCCGGAAGGGACCTCCAAAGGCCATCTAGTCCGACCCCCCCGCAGTCAGCA